ACTTTTTCTGCGTTAGCTTGTTTCCTAACGTATCTAATATTGTATTATTGCATATGCGTATAATCGGTCGAACTATTGACGTTGAATCAGGTGGTTCCAAATAGTCGTCCGTCACTTGCGACTCTTGAGAATCATCGTCAGATATTATTTCGACTTCATCGTCATCTGTGAGAATTATAACATTGTCAACGTCCATTAGTCTATTTGAAAGCCTTTTAAACGCATCCCCTGATTTGGTTTGCAACTTGCGATTTGTATTCGTTTCGAGAACTTCAACAGGCGATAAAGATTGAACGACTTTCCCAACCACACACGTGTTTTCCATATGGAACTGTTTATTTTCTCCATATTTAAACTTCAATTTACAAAATGGACATGTGCGGTGTCGAGTCATATGCTTACTTAAAGCACCTGCATCATTGTGTTGACTGTCACATATTTTACATACAAATACATCAACTGAGCCCAAGGCTGGTGTCAATCCAAGTGACTGAATAAATTCTGGTTTGCTTGTACTTGTTGTAGATGGTTCACCGATGACGCTAATTGAATTACTTTCCAATTGCTTGACACTGATCGACTGCACATGGAAGGGATTATGTTGTGCGGCTTCTTTACCTACCTTGGACTTATCGCGGTTTAACGAACCGGTCTCATACTCTAAGCAGGAACTTCTCGAATCAGAAACATTTGTTTGCAATATTTCCTGCTTTTCCCTGGAAACTGTACTCTTAATTAATAACTTGCGTTTCGAAAGTTTGTTACTATTTGGATTTGACTTCTTCGTAGACATCGGCGTGTCATATTCATCACTCATTTCCTGTGCAAGATCATATCTGGATGAACTGTTGAGACAACTACCACTTTGCTCTTGGTATGGCCCAGCTATAATGAGCTCTGCAGACTCTGCAGTCAATTTTGATGTTTCGGAACCGGTTGAGAAGGACTTCCATTTGCTTAATTTGGTAGACTTTTTAACAGTCACTTTAAGCGAATTGCAAAGTGATTTTAATTTGGAAAACCTCATTTTCTGTTGCCTTTGAACAATGGGGGTCTTAGTTTTGTAGCAATTTTTAACTCGCTTTGTCATATCAGAAAACGATTCTGCTGTGGTATTGATTGTATTGCTGGAATCAGCAATATATCTGTCGGAACTGTTCGTATCTGGAATACACTGACTGTAAGCCAGTGCAGATTTATTTAGTAAATTATCTGTATCTTCAAGTTTGGGGAATGCATTGAGTTTTTTTGCTGGAGTGGTCTTTTTAACGGGTACAGCTGTTCGTTTCTTCGCAACTTGTTTTACACCTGAGCGCCTTGACAAAGGAGCGCACAATTTTGGCTTGGCGATATAATCACGCATATCTAGATTATTTCTTTGAAAATGCGATTCCACTTCACCCATGACAAGCGACACTACGGGGGCTAGATTTTGATTTAAACATTTCCCAGGCAACTTAAATGTTGGGTATTGTCGATATACACTAATTATACTTGAGTGCAGACCTTCACTTATCCTCGAACGTTTCGATGAGTTGTTGCTTAGCTCTTTATTCAGTTGCGATTGCTTCAAATCAATGTTTTCAGTCATACCAGTCGGGATAGGAAAAGAAGGTTCTTCATCGCACTGCAGTTGATTTAAATGTTTCGGGCCAATATCAGCGAGCGGTGAATGCACAACCAGCGCTTTATTTTCCTGTGGTGCCTCTTCGCAATATTCTTTCCGGATTGTTATACAAGAATTAGGTAGGCGAATACCTTCTTTGCTTAGGTACTGGTGACATTTTTTCTGTAACAAACCTTATTAGAGTAATTGTCAGGGAACTTTCACGATCAAGTACCTTGAGATTTTGGTCCTGCTTATAAGCGGCTTCTCTGATATTATTCACGTTCAACACATTATCATAACAGTTCTTGCATATCTTCTTTGAAATGATGTCACATTCGCTAATCTGCAACAAACAGAAAACCTGCATAACAAGTACTTTAAATAACAAACACCGATTCGTTTATGAGATATTGTACAGGGTGATTCAAAATTGGCGTCATTGTTTTGGGAGTATAGGAAAAATAGTAAAAAAAAATTGTTATTAAAAATTGAGATATTTGCAAAAAAACTAGATCAGAAGGATGACAGCAATGTTTTTCAAAGTAATCTGACCGATTTACATAAAGTAAATACCCGTTTCTTCTTAACTATTGACAACTGTAGTAACAATGGGTAAACACACAACAAAGAAAGTAAAATTGACAAAAACATACTTTGACGTTACGATAATGTTGTCACTTTGCCACTGTTTGGGGCAAATGAGTGAAGATATACCTAAATCCGTCACAACTGTCATCCAAAACCTCCTGGTACAGGTTATGTATCAATGATCAACATCGATCAAATAAAATACAATTAAGTTTTAGTGCCTGGATGAGTTATCAGGACAATTATCCGGTGCCTGGAAAAGTGTCAGTTGTTGTGCAATGCTCCGCGTTCTCCTGGGAGGATCTGCTGCAATTATCTCCAACACCTGTTCCTCTAGGTCTGGAACCCGAGCATCTCAAGATCGTTCACTACCTGTGTCAATTCTTGAGTTCAATCGTCCAGCGTCTCTAGCCCTTTGCTGGTGTAAGTTCTTACTGCGGTATTTCCGCATAACTAATGGCGTTATCGCAAATTCGATGTTGGTGTACATTTTGTGAAAATAGCTTAAAAGTAAGTCAAAGTTTAACAAATGCTTGTTATTATTGACAGAAGCTATCTACCTGTTCTTATCTGTTAATGCCAAAAAACATCTCCGCTGTTTGCCGCTTTGACTTTTCATCAAAAAATTGTTGAATAGTACTTTGTTAATAAAAAAATGTTCAAAATTTGAAGCAATGAGGCTATAGGCTAATAGGCTACCAATCAGAAATTAAACTATCTCAAAATAATATTTAATAACAAAGTTGAAACTCGATATTCAACTGTTAATAACTTATAAAAAACGTTTGTAAAAGTTGTTTTCAATATTTTTCTCGTACTCTCTAAGTGAACCCCTATACCCCCTAAAAGAAATTATGGCAATCTTCAATCACCCTCTATAATGCCTATACAATCAATGAACTGCTCAAATGGCATGATTATAGATGGTCTTTCTAAGTTGTCGACTCTCCCAAGGGGATAATAGGCTGGTTCAGAAAAACCGTAAACTTAAGAAAAGTTTATTTCTGGAAGATCCAGAATCAACCGTTATTTCCCTTTTCACCTCTCCGAAGGTTTTGCGTTTCGTAAGCTGGTTTCGCATGTTGCGTGCAAACCAGAAACATTCTAAAATTATGTTTGATTAAAATACTACGCATATAAATGATCTATCCCCCAGTGACAACTAGAGCTTTGCAGCTCAACCGGTTTTCTTAATAACCCACAAACTATGCGCCATTTACAAGACCGGCACAAATTAAAAAAACACGCTTTGAGTGAATCATTCTTTAAATGGTGGTTTGACGGTTCAGTCCCGCTTTGCGGCTCATCCCGTTCTCTAAACACGAGGAGCTGTTATAAAGACCAGCTTTAAGTTCGAATTTTGCGTAAAACTAGAAACAGTCCTAAAATGATGATGATTGGTATAGGAAAGTGCACTAGAGGTGTGATAAACGTTTATTTTTCTGTAAAGTTCCAGTTCCACCTTGGTAATAGGTTTCAAAATGCGGTTCAAACGGAACATATTACTTTTTAAATGTTTCATTAAACATGCAGAATGATGATGATAGTAGAAATAGTGATGGTGAACTGTTAATAAACTCCAAAAATTATGTTTGGTATGACAAACTGCACAATTTAAAAGCTATAACTAGAACTTCACAGCTCAATCGGTTCTCTCAATATGAACTAAATGCTAAATGCGTTTCACGAGATCCACATTAAATGAACATTTTCACATTTTGAGCAAAAAACTAAATTCATTCTTTAAATGATGTTCGATATAAAAACGTACGCAATTTAGGGCTCTACCCCACAATGGCAATGAGCGCTTCGCAGCTAAACCGGTTCTCTAAACGTCCGTCAATCATTAAGCACGATTAACGGGTCTCAATGTTAGCATGTATGGACCTCAGACTCACATACATAGGCAGAAAGTATTTTCTGAAAAATGTATTACGCGATGCAGCAACTCTATTGTGTTTATACAAACTACTGCAGGTATAAAAATTAAGCAATCAGGCCAATCGCTTTATGACACGATTGATAACTCGTAATTTTCCTGTTGCTAATAAAGCGTCTTGTTGCACACACTAATTTAAAACAAACAACCAATTAACGATTATTTGATCAAATATTATTACCTCAAGTACTTACCTTTGTTCAACAATTAACACAATTATTACCACGATATTTAATGCAAAAGTATATTGAAAAAAATAATTCAAAATCTTAATATAATTATTAACTATGGTACTGATGAAAGAAACGGTTTAAAGTACGCCATATTTGCGAAAGTAAAATATCGCATTACAATAGAACAGCGTAATTCAAGAACAATAACAATAACGCAATTCAAGAACAATAAATACTGATTATAACTAGTTATACAAAAGTGAATATAAAAGATAATCAATTTTAGTTATAACTGAAAAATGTTGAAAGATGAAGAGATGTGAAAAAGAAAGGAAAGGACGATCCCTCCTGAAAAGTTCCTACTTAACTAAACATATTTTGTTCAACGATATGACGTAATGACGGACAGTCGGCGTCACATAAAAGTAGACGATTAAATAGTTGTGGAAATCTGACTTTCTACCTCCATCTACCTTTGCGTAAATGACAAAATACTGACAAATAAATTTTTCTATTATCAAAATGACACATTCAAAAGTATTTGAAAAAACTGGGATACTTACATTAAATGAAGAAGGATGGTCAACAAAAACAGTGGCTGAGAGATTTGGAAAATCGAAGAGCACGATTAATAAAGAGATTAATTAAATTGTCAAACTAAAACAAGTTTGTGACATAGATAGAACATATATTTGACGTATTTCACAAAGCCTGATTTACCAAAATCGGGAAAAATTGCCTCTAGGAGTCGTCTACTGTCATGTGTCGCCAACCATACCTCCTAAACATATGGTAATGGCAGAAAAATTAATAAAGCCTATTGCAATTCAGACATGGTTTTTACTCTAAACTTCGGTCGGTCAGTAGGGTTAGAATAAACAGGCTCACCAGTGTGCGATGCACCCGATTGGTTCGCAATAACACGCATTGCATTGGAATGCGCCATTTGAAGTTCATTTGTCGATGAAGTAGATGGTTGGATTGGGAATATGGGAGGGTTTCTGATTTGTGCGGGCATTGAATGATTCAAGTAATGCTGACGTTGCACATTTAATTGTGACGCTGCAACTGAACTGTTGAGATTGGCAGAAGTTTGCGATAAACCAACATCAATGTTCTGTTGCCCAAACCGATTTTCTGGAACTGTCATTGAATTACTAGCCATTTGTGGGGATATTGTGCTAAATGGCATGTTGGTAATTCTATTATAATGAGAAAATGTAGGAGTGACCCTATACAATCGTGGGCCAGCCTCATATCCAACATTAAGTCTGGGTGAATTGTTTGTATTCACACTAAAACGGCCGAAAGGGCTTGAAACCGGTTTAGATTTGTTGATAGGAGTCCGTAAATGAGAAGCTGTCGGTAAATAAATATCTTTGGTTTGTAAAAAATTGCCCACTGAAGACGGCTCTGTCGTGCGTGCTGATGAACTAACCACTCTTGAATTTACATTAAGACCGTTCCTCATCTTCAAAGGGCTGTTTATTAAAATGTTTGCATTAGATGAAACTGAAGTTAGATCTAACTCTTGTGGGAATATTGAACCACGCGACGATTTGTTTGATTGCGACGTTTGAAGCGTGTTGTTGTCAACATACATATTAGCACAATTTGTAGAAGCTTCAGCGAAAGACCTTCTTGCATCAATCACTTTCAAGGTTCTCCATTGTGCTTCACTATCAATGACTTTCCTGTCTGACTTGAACACATAACGTACATGGAACGATCCATTACTTATATGAACTGGTACCTTATAGAATAATAATTCTGACGATATATTTTTAAACTCGCATGTGCCTGTCGAAATGTCAATTTGAATATCTTTGACACTCGGTAAATCTGTTTGTAGCAGAGCGTCCACGGTACTCTTTGCAGACTTAAGAAGAGTCATAACTTCTGTTAGAAATGCACCGTCACTTATATTTGAGGACCTGATGGTGTCAAACAACGTGCTATTTTTTATAGAAATGCTCGGTCTGACTATGGAAACGGTTACATATCCCGTCTCCTCACTAGAAGCAGGTACACTGTTGGGTGTCTTAGGGACATCTGCAATGGGTGCATGTTCGGGAGCACACTCTACATCATCATCTGATAATACTATAATATTGTCTGCATCTTCTATGCATGGAGACGAAGTCGGTGGTTTCATTATATCTTCTGGAAGTGGATCGCAATCAGAAAATGCATCTCGATACATATTTCTAATCTTCACGTTTAAGTTAATTTTCTCTAAATAAACTTTTGGAAATGGAGAATCTAGTCGCTTCACAATTTCACACGAAGTTTTCACATGTACCTCCTTATCTTCAAAAGATGCAAATTTCTCCTTGCAAAACTGACACTGCATATGTGTAGTTTTATGATGATTCAGCTGTCGAGCGCTGTTCTGAACGCATTCGCAGATATCACAGATAAATATCGGTTCATATGCTGTTGGGATTGTAGGTGTTAAACCAAACGCCTGTAAGAAAGCGGGCTGGGACGGGAAAGCGGTACTTTCAACCAAATCGCTAGACACAACATTGCCAGATTCTTGTACGAAATGCTCTTTAAATGGATCAACAGGTCCCACTTTTTCAGCAGCACGGCAGTGTCGTATATCTTCTTGTTTTTTCTTCGTTGTAACCACAGTTGCACGATTATTGGTCCCATAACTAACTCTAGGTATTTTCGCCAAAATGTTATTCGTGCTTATAGCTGATCCTGTTCGTTTCTTAGCTATGTTACATTCAACTTTAGTTTCACATGTTTTCTCATGTGAACTTTCCCAATACTTGCGTACTTCATGTAATTGAATAACGACAACAGGAGCCATGTGCATATTAACACATGTTTTCGGCAATTTAATATTGGGATATGTCTGATATAATTGTGCTATAGATGGATGCAACTGGTGTTTGATATGATATCCCGCGTTTGTTTTTTGCTTCCCACATGCTCCCACCAATTTTTCGGAAATTTGCAAAGAACTAACGGTGTCTTGTTCAGTTTTTGCTATCGAATTTCCGAGCCCGTTAAGCATCATTGCACATTTTTCCTAAAAAAAAATATACATGTGATATGGGCGTCAAAGGCAACTGGAATAAGTATCTACCTTCAATGATTGATCTTTTTTAAGGGCATCCTGTCGGTATTTATGCATATTCAAAGTTATTTCACAGCAACGTTGACATATCTTCTTTGATATCAAATCATTTTTTGAAATCTGCAACAACGAGAATTAATTATGTTTACCGCACAATTACACTAGGCCACTTCACAAATGCTCATCTTGATTTTTTAACCAGGAAGAGAGCCAGTGAATATGTTGCTGTCAGATTAGGGGCCTTGTCAGCTACAATTTTGCAATGCTTTGTGATTCACTCTTTGGAAAAATGTAGTAAGTTATACGTAATAACACGTCATTGCTCTTAATTAAGTAGATCTCAAATTTTAACAAAATAGCAAAAATATGTCAGCCGGTAAAAATCAAACACGGTGTTTTATAACATAACGTTTATTTCATTACAAATAATATAATATAATACTTAACTGATACGCACTGAAATCGCCAGACATTCATTCACTATCACACACCTGCTTGATCGTTCTTCTCCATTCAACTATCTATTAAAAAAGATAAGTATGCTTCTACTTATCGTATGTTATTTAAATCCGAGAGCGTCCTTCTTTTTCGCGAACTATATATTTTAATATATTTCGTTTAATGAGTAAAATATATTTTAGGTGAATATTTAAATTGAATCGAATTGCGGGATTTGCTAGGTTTTTTTTGCTATATCCTACCTGTTGAGGAATGACTTAGATCTTACACGCCGTCCAATGTGGAGGATCTCTATTGTTCGCATTATTCCAGAGATGATAACTGATCTGTGACAGATCGCGTAGATAGCCGATTTTGTATGCTACATAAGGGCAGACGTGACATAAAAGAAGTCAAAATGATCGAAACGGAAGTAACTCTTCAGTAACGATTAAAACATTTTTGATAGACAAAAGCATTTCAACCAGACACCGAAAACCATTGTTAGGTTTTACGCATAATTTTCTTGATATTGAACTTTTGAGGATACTCAACGTTTTGCTCTGCAATCGTACCAGCTCAAAGAAATGGCGACATTTTATGTGTAGAGTTAGTTCGAGATTGCCGCATAGAAGTGTCATTCGAAGCTCGTCGCAATTCATCTCTAGCAGGTTCTTCGATAACAGCGGCCCTCGTACAGAGATCGTCGGTGCTATCATTCCTATTCACAAGCGTTCCTGTACCAGCGTAAAACGGTTGTGAGAATGCGCCGCAAAAAGAAGAGGGATCCTACTGCGCGTGTTTATATCCCTAGAAAACTTTTCATGGATCAAAGTATAGATAGGAATAGACGTTTTGAAGCCATGCGATCAGAAAGGCACTCGGCGTTCGAGCACCAGGACCACGAGGGTGGAATTGGCTACTGGCTATGGGATAGTAGGTAACCAGCTTCCCATAGAAAAGATGCTACTGGAAAGACACAACCAGAAGCCGTCAATGCATAGAATATGAACATGGAACGTTCAAGGTCTCAATAAACCCGGGAAAATAATGATTGTCGGAAAGCCCGTGACAGACTTAGCCATTGTTGGCATATCAGAACGTCACTGGAAAAATAGTGGCCACTACGTATGGCAGAGCGGCAACCTTATACTATCATCAAGTAATGATTCACAATCCATTAACGAGTCGCCTTTATAATACAAAAACACTTAATGGACACTGTACTTGACTACGGAGCAGTCGGCGACTGTATCATCATCCTCAAAATAAAGGAGCAGCCAGTGATTCTAAACCTTATTCAGGTATATGCTCCCACATCTACATCGTCTCAAGACGACATTGACAACTTGGACTATGGATCACTCTCCCAGACACTCTCAAAAGCTTCAAACAGGGAGCGTTCAATAATTCTAGGTGACTTCAATGCCAAAATAGGAGAAACAAAAGCCGACTCACACCTAAGATCAGTCGTAGGGCAGTATGGAACGGGAGTAAGAAATGAACGTGGAGAGATGCTAATCGAATTCCGTGCAGAGAATCAGCTATCAATCGCTAACTCCTACTTTCAACACCATGTCAGGAGATTGTACACATTGAGATCACCAGACAGAATCTCTTGGACAGCTCATAGAACAAACATTTCCATACGAGGAGACCTGAATGTTTGGGATCATGAAAGGCTGCTGCCAGGAATCCAGAGGCGCATACTTAAATATTTCGGTTACGTGATACGAAAGGAAGGGATGGAGAAGGCTGTGATCCAAGAAAAATGAACGGCAAAAGAACGTAAGGTAGATCTCCTGTCAGATTCATGGACCAAATCAAAGACCTTACAAGTATGTCGGCGTCAGAAGTTATGAGAACCTTAGGGGATAGAGAAGCATGGTGAAGAGTTGGACCATGAATAGTCATGACACTCGAAACCGAGCAACGTGTGAAGAGAACAGAGAGAGAGAGAGGATCTTCGACGGTAGATCAAAAGTGGCTAGTGCCACACTACTGACACGTTTATTTGTCCTACTATGGATGCATCCAAGCAGGGATTGATTCCTTTGAAGGAGGTACAAGGGGTCACTTTAGAGAGAGAGTTTGGGAAAAATATATTTTTAAAATTTTTAGCAGATATTAATAGTTGGAAATCGAATTTCAACGTTTTTATTAAGCATTATTTCGAAATGGTCCCATGTTTGATTGGTAGCCCATTGGATTAGCCTTTGCCAATAATAACAAGCATTTGTCAAACTGTGCAATCAGGCTTTAAATTTTCGTATTTTTCGAATGTTCACCTTGTCTCTGGTCTGCAAGCACCTTAACATAAAACTTTGATGTGAGATCCAAATGCTCTCTTGTAAACAATACAAATCGACAACATGCAAAGAGAACTAGACAAAGCTACGCAGAGACAACAGCAAGTCTGAAAAATTAAAAAAAATTAAAACGATCAACCCCAACACCTGAAGAGCACTCGGCGAAGGGAGGAAACTTTGCTTAAAGCCCGAAAATGATTCCAATAGAGGTCATCTCTGGCACTGAAGCCGCCCAAATCCTTAAGAGCGAAAACCACCACCACAAATAAGAAGGAACACAAATGTCGTTGTCCTGGCAGCGGGACAAAGGCAATGCTACTCTCATTATGAACAGAGAGCAATATGAGCAGAAGATCCAAGACCTACTGGATCCTGCCACTTACACAAAGCTCAAGAAAGACTCGACTCAGGTCAAGTTCAGGAATATCGTTGATATTCGCCTGGTATAAATATTGTCATTGAACGAGACCGTCATGACGTTTGTATCAATTACCCAAAATTCCCAAGGAAGAAGTCCCACGTAGACCTATTATATATTATAGCCCACAGTGGCAAAATATCTCGCCTCTTCTGCAGCCACATATAGGATCCACAGACATATATCAGAGACTCTTTTTATAAGCAAAATCAGGCGATCTGAAACTGGAACCAACGGACAACATTTCGATGTCGTGTCATTGTTCACAAGTCCCCGTGGACGCACCCATGGAGTATCTATGGGAGGAGTATCTATGGGAAGCCTACTCAGACCAGATATAGTAAATATATTCATGGAGAAGTTCGAAGAAACACCTTTTAGACCCGCACCCTTTAAACCGACTATCTGCTATCGATATGTCGATAATACGTTCGTGATACTAATTTGACCATCGGGTATATAGAAAAGCCACCCACATGAACGAATACCTCCACTAGTTATCCAACCATCACCCGAGTCAAAAACAAGGAATCATCACGACTCTCACACATAGAGCCAGGGAAATATGTGGACCACAGCACCTAACAGCGGAACTACATTTAGAAACCGCTTTCATTTAAAAATAGCAGTAGGGGTGAACCGTGCCGAAGAGTAAAACCACCCAAAGGACCTTTCTGCCTTTCATTCCCAGAGTTACAGATAGAATTGGGTATATCCTAGGAAAACAACATAAAAACAATCTACAAGCCCACGACGAAGATCCAGGAATGTCCACGGTCGGTTCCCTGGCGACTGCAGGTATCTACGGCATCCCATGCTCCTGTGGAAGTGTCTACATAGGAACGAACAAAAGATCGGTTAAGACGAGGATCGAAGAACATCGACGGAATTTGCAGATTAGAACATGTGAAAAAGTCGGCAGTGGAGGAGCATGCCCTTGCGAGGTAGTGCACACCATTAAATTTGCAGACACTCAAGTACGTACTATCCACAACAACAGGCTATCGCTCCCTACTAATACAAGAAGCGATGGAAATACACAAGCACAGCGACAATTTTAACATGAAAGGCGAGATAATGGCGTTAAACCGGTATGGTTCCCGGAGCTCACCAACACAAACCCAGCAAGGAATCTAGATATGTAGATGACACAGGCCACGTCATCACAACCGGTGCATAAATACGGACTACGCCCGATGAACCTCATCAGTATTATTCTTCTGGAATTCATTGAATATACAGGGATAATGAGGAAGTAAAATTACGAGGGCACAATAGGACAGAAATTACCGCGGTGCCAAGGCCAAATACCACCTCGGCGGTGAGGAAAGGGTTTTAGTGGGTAAACAGCTTAGCTGGAGTCCCGCGACAGACCACCAGCTCTGGGAGTGCATACAAGAGCATTTCCCAAACCTCACCGAAAAAAAAACAGCCTCATCAGTATAGTGTAAGCTCTCAAGCAAACCACCTCTGAAGATGCAAGTCGCTCGTGCTTGCGGCACGTCAGGAAGAAATCGCATTTGACGACGGTCTACAAACCCGAAAAACTTACCAGTTTTAAGACAAACTGAATTTGTGAAGATATGTTATGCGGTGACCATATTAAGCAGTTCTATGAGGAATTGTGCATTTTCGTGATAAAATGTATGTTATAATCGATGCGCGTTCCTTAAGAGGTCGCGTATTGCACCCTAGTGGTGTCAGGTCGGTACAAAGTTTAAAGCCCATATGCGGCATGTTAAGAAACGATGTTTTTACGATTACCGAGGAACGCAAGTTTGCATTTGGCTTTCCTCGTCGAATGCATGGGACTTAGGCCTTAATATAAACCTTACACTGATATTGTGTAGTTTCGATATGAAGTAAAATAGAGCAGTTCTGTTAAAAGTTGCACCGTTTGGTGGTAGAACTGACTGAAACAAAAAACAATCTTTAAAAACTCTTTACGTTATTTGCATGTCTGGTTTAGTTTTATGCAAATATTTCAATTTCTACATACTGGCAGTCAACGTATCTAGTATCTTGCCTCACCCATCCTTCTAAAGGGTGTTTGTGGAATAAGTATTGAAAAAGAAGTACACATCATGAGGTTATGAATGAAAATGGCTTTGCCGGCACAGACGTGCTCTTTTCATGAAACTTTCAAGGACTGTTGCGCATAAATTTTGCAGTATTTCAGAGATACAGCGTTGAATTGAACTCGTGCAGTAATACAACAGTTTCTCTGGCTGTATGGCATGTTGCCGTACAGCCAGAGTATGGCAGCCGTATGGCATGTTGCCGTCCTGTTGAAACCGCATGCTGTTCAGATCCATATTTAGAAAATTTTGGCATAAAAAAGTTAATTAACATTTCACGATAACGAACACCACTCACGGTTAATGCTTGACCAACTGCATTTTTGAAGAAAAATGGGCCGATGATGCCTCCAGCGCACAGTGCACACCAAAGAGTGAGACATTTTGGATGCATCTGTTTCTGAACGATCGCTTGTGGATTTTCTGAACCTTAAATGCGACAATTTTGTCGATTAACGAATCCATCAAGATGAAAATGGGCCTTGTCAGTAAAGATGATTTTTGTTTAAAAATCACCGTCCAATTGTCGTTGTTCCAAAATCCCATCAACAAAGGCTCTTCGTTGCCCATGGCTTTAGCTCTTGAGCCAATTCAACTTTGTACACCAATTTCCTGAGCTCTATGACGAATTCATGTGGTTGGGCTTTCGTCAACATTTGCACGTACTGCTGCGGTATTTTAAGTCGAGCGACCAGGACGAACGCGAGTTCCTGATTTCAGTTCATTAACATATCCAGTTTGCTGAAATTTCTTCATTCATTTTATCACAGTGGCTTTAGTTGGAGCATTCCGATGGCCCATAATTGTACGCATTTTGCAAACTGTGACTGCAAGACTTCCACCATTTTAATAATAATTTTTCACAATGAGAATTCGTTGTTGTGTATTGAACCGATCCATTTTACTTAACCTCTTCCTAAATGTCAAATGTCAAATCATGACACTACAAATGGCGCTAAATTCAAAACCGTAGTTCTTATTGGAACACATTCGTCTTTATAATACTACTATAATAGTCTAAACTCATATTTGTAACTAATTATAACATATATTAATTGATTTGCATTTGTCACTTAACTTTAATTAGCACCGCTACTTTTGGTCACTAAATGTACACTTACTTATTTGCTTACTACTACAATATTTAATAAAATTACTATAATGATTTATAACTAGTACTCTATTAACAAGTAAGAGTAACTGTTGGATTGTACTAAAATTAAATAATTAATTAAACACCACCTTAATACAAATGAATTGCCTGCTGATGAACACCTAACGACCTAATGGCAAATTCTCGTACAGATCCAAGCAACACAATTCCTCAAGGCAACATGGGAACTGTGCAAACGTGTAAGAAGACTGCGCCGTTATGTATGAAAACTGCGCAACGCCAATCATATTAACTAATATAACCTGCCCATAGCAATAAGCTATCGCATCGTAACATCGTCTTAATATTACATAAACGATAACTAAAATCTCTTAATGGTAGTAGCACTATTTAGGTACTCATATCAATCGACAGACTTACATGAATTCCTGTAGTAACTAAAACCACGTCCTTCAGGTGTTCTTTAAGGTCATTGTCGAAGACATTGATCAGTACACCAGTGCCTTTATCTGAAGAGCAAAGTCTACAAATTTCTTGAATTTCGGATAGATCCATTAAATAATAATAATTGCAGCTGATTAAACGGAAGCTGCAATCGAATTCGTTTCTCGCTTTTTATCGTGCAAACACACTGACGAGGAACCACTGGTAAAAGCAACATCCAACGACCCGGGGAAGGCATTTATACTAATATGCGGAGAAGCGATGTTGCCGTAACTTCTGCCTAGCTTACTTAAACGCATTTACAGATATACTATGTATGTCTGTTATCAAATTGTCACAATTAGCGAAATTATATAAAAATATAAAATATATTGATTTGATTTCTTGGCTTGACAGCAATATCGGATATGCGGGTACGCTATAGTGATGGGGGACTGCCACAGTAGCATAGCAGGCGCTGTAAAAACTTCTTATTTTTAGAACAGATTCATATGTAAAAATTTTGTTTCAGCACCAATCACCAAAGAGTTTTCACATTTGTAGGTTACCCACTTCCCTCTCCTTAACTTACCATTACTTAATTAATTCTTGAATTAACCGCTAACCGCAACCTCTTTCAATCTGACATGAGCTTTTGATATTCAAGAAGCAACATGTATTTACTTAATGTTAATGAGGCAGATGACAGCCTCATAGCCCTATAGTCCAGGCTTTTTATCAGATCCAGTTTTTTTGCAATCATCTCAGTTTTTGATACGAGTTCATGTTTTTGCTATTTATCCTATACTCCCTAAACAACAACTGCCAGACAACATCCCCAGAGAAATGACGCCAATTTTGAATCACCCTGTATAATATTATAATAGTCAAGACATGTTCAGCCAGTATATTATTTTAAAAGCAAATGATACAATATTTAAATATGATTTGGATTAATAAGTAGAAAAACACTTTACGCGATATATCTGAAAGATTCGCCCCTTACTTGCCCAAAAACTTGATAAATATTCGTAGCTCCACGGAAACAAACACTGATTATTTTTCACTAACCGTTTCTAGAGTTAACGAAATTCAACCTGTCGAAATTCAAGTCGTTTGCATTCTACTCCTAACAGTCCAGACCCAGACTACCTAAAAGCCAACTTTACCTACGTCTCTTCTGATTAAAAATAAAATCAATCTAGCTTTACAATTTGTGCAGTTTTTTCTACTTACCTTTGTGGAACTACAAGTTTTTTCACAAATATGTTAACTTTTCAAGACGCACTTTCGAACTACGCTTTTATATCTTATCCAAAAGCCCGAGAAGTGACTGTTGTGATTTGTACTTATTTGCGATGTTTGGTAAAATAATGATAACATTTTAAATTGACTGTGTGTGGGAGTATAATGTGTGTTTTCTGAAACCCAATAGATTGCTTACGAAGAAGCTTCCAATTTGCAAATTTAAAGATCTATAACCAGCAAAATCTCGTCGGTTTAAGGTCATAAACGCTCAAAATGTACGTAAATTGTTTGACGCATGATCGCATGATAATTATTGAATTTGTTTGACGCATGATGGCAATACTAGCTTATAATTTCAATATTGTTGTCAGCCTAATAATTCATAAATGGATCAGATATGTAAAATGTAATTTAAATTCTGTTTGAATGTAAAACTTATATTTTATTTTCAACATTTAACATTCTTCAATTGCAGTTAACTCGCTGGTATTGACGATATCGTATATACTTTCCTGACTGTGTTTCAATTCCAAATCAAATTCATTCCTGGGTTTCAGTCATTTATTGTCTCTATTTATCAATCAAAATACGTTTCGGTGTATTTTTCCACCATCATCAGTTTTTATGTGTAGCGTTGTTGCTGCTTTAAGCCTTGGCATGCATTTATGCAAATGGTGGCATAAAAACTGATGATGGTGGAAAAATATACTGAAACGTATTTTGATTGATAAATAGAGACAATAAATAGATTTATGATAACTGTAATAAGAAACTAATTGGGACGCTCGATTTCAACTTGCTCGATTATAGCTTGTTCTGGATTAGTTCTCATCTTTAATTGCAACTTTGATTCAAGAAATGACAATAAATTTTGCCCTCAATCAGAAGAAAAATCAACCTTAAAATTTCAATTCAGAATGAATGTTAGTTTTGGCCAAGGCAAGTAGTTTACGTTCGAACTGCGTTCGTCAGAAATCGTGCGAAAAGCTGCGAATAATCCTATTTCATTGCAACGTACTACAGCTCGTCCACCAGCCCATAGACTATACACTATTATTTTCAGGCGACTGGCCTAATTAAACTCCTTGAAGTTAAGGAAGGAGTCCTTAACCAATTGAAAAAAGGACTAACCATTGTCGTCACTGTCATGTATAAAGGCACTGTAGTCTGGACATCATGCCGTTCTTTGTTATCACGAAAGAAACCCGCATTTTCCTCCGAAACAACACTAGAAAAGTTGTTTGCACGGGGATCATCTACAAGTCGAGCATAATGTTAACTTCGAAAAAGGTGAAACGATCCACCAAGGAAATGCCAGCCGTTTCAACATATAAACAGGTTCAAACAATTTTATTACCTCAGTGACTTTTCTACACAACTAATACGCACATTTATTCTTTGTTTCTGGCACTAAGCGCAGACGCTTTGCAACCCAGAACCCTTTTTGCATTGTAATGCATTCCATTTAGGTTATTCGTCATTCCTTTTAAGGGGTGATAGAAGCTCCCTTGAGGAGTACCAGAAAAATATTGAAAATTTTTTTTGCGAACATTTCTAGAAGATATTAACAGTTGAAGATCGAATTTCAACTTTGATATTAAGGATTATTTTGAAAAAATCCCACGTTGGATTGGCAGCCTATTGGAATACTTAAGCATTCAAAAAGAAAAATTACGATCTTTGCTTCAAATTACGAAAA